GTATTTTATCTTAATACCATAGCAGGATGTTTCAGGATATTTGTTTGAAACCCTGATGGAAACTGACCATGCGAAGGTCTCCAATAGATGTATGGCTAGAAACCCTAGACCCAGCAAAACAGGTATAGATTGAGAAACCCTAATGGTACGGTATGCTTCTTCTCATGGATTTTTTTGATGTGGCTCAAAACCCGAGATCTGAAAACTGATGGTCGCAGAACCTCTAGTTGGTGTGGATCGAAACCTTAGACCTGGAAAACCCATATCTTAATATTGATGGTGGCTAAAACCCTAGATCTGGTTTATGTGGATTAAAATTTCAGATATGAAAAATTTATATGGTGCATCAAACCCTAATTTCATGGTTACTTTATATCTGTGTCAAGTTTGTGATGTCGAACTGAAAACCCTAAAACTGGCTGGGACTTTTTGGTGCTTCAAAATTGGTCGTTGGGCTTCTATAATATACCGTGCCTCTGGTCATGAGTTTCAAGACTTATATTTTATCGAGATATCTTGTATGCATGGTCTCGGATCTCTTTGTGAAGTGAAGTGTTAACATTGTGTTAATCACGAGTGTTTTATCGAGATATATTGTTAATCAATATCAATCAAGTGGCTGTCTATATTAATCAGTGAGTGTTTTCTGGTGTGTATAAGCTATGTAGTAGCTGATATGTCCAATACCGGTGGTTCAAAGCACTCTTCTACCATCTCTTGTACTCTAGGTGTGACCTCTCACATGGGTATCCATGGAGAAAACCTCGGACTGCCGATTACAACTGTTAAAATTGATGGGATAAATTATCTGGAATGGGCACAGTCCGCTAAAATGTTTATTAGTGGAAAAAGAGAGTTGATATATATCAATTAAAAAATTATTGACAATGAAGAGCTAAATCCCTCATATGAGAAGTGGAAAACATAAATTTTGATTATAATATCTTGGTTGTTGAACTCAATGCTCCCATTGATTAGTAGGGGTTTTCTTTTTCTTCAGACTGCAAGAGAGATCATGGATTTGAACCTAGAACTTACTCCCAAACCAAGAACATGTCCCATGTATTAATTGAGGCAGGAGATATGCCATCTTCAATAGGAGGAGCAGTCTCTTAACAACATATTTCTCTTCGCTTCGCAGCCTATGGGAGGAGTTGGATCATTATCAAATGCTTAAACCAGGCAGTAAGCAAGATGGAATAAATACAATGAGCTTGGGGCACACAATCATATCTTTGTGTTTTAGGTTGGACTGAACCCCGAGTTTGACTTAGCTGGACTTTAAATCCTCAAATGAGGATAATCTCACCTCTATCAATCAATTAAATTCCTTACTCCAAAGTGAGGAAAGCAGAAAAACATGTCATGCTGCCTACAAAACCAATGGATCATTCGGCCCTTGTCCCAACCTCATTACCTCCAAGGAACAACAAGCGGGTGGACCTCGAAAATTTGGAAAAGGGGGTCCCTATCAAGGAGATAAAATTAAGTTGAAATGTGATCATGGTGGTAGAATTGACCACATTAAAGAGAATTCTTGGGATTTAGTTGGTCGACCAGCAAAATTCAAAATCTCCCTAAACAATTCAAAGCACATAATGCTTCATCTAATTGTGGACAAAAAATTATTAATATAGATCAAGCACTACCCAATGAAGCTCAACCTTCATATTGTGCCCAAAAGGAGATGATAACAGTTCCTAAGGAGGATATTGAGAGCCTCATCGATTGTTTGCATAGTTAGATGGCTCATCTACTACCTCTACACCATCCTTTGCCCACTCAAGTATTCATGCTTCTACTAATCATATCCCTCTTTATCAGTATGGACAATCCTAGATCATTGATTCTAGAGCTATAGATTATATGATTAGTATGCCCCCTTGTTTTCTCAATATTCTCTATGTTATGGTAGAGACAAAGTTAAAATTGTTGATGGATCCTTTTCTTCCATTACTTGAAAGGAACTGCAAAAAATTTCCCTCAATTGTCTCCATCATCAGCATCAGTTCTTCATGTTCACCCTTCTTTCAATAGTATTACCGAGAGTCTAAATTGTAGTGCACCTTCTTTCCTTCACACTGTGTTTTTCAGGACATAGATAAAAGGAAGACATATGGCAATGATCATGAAGCTAGCGTTCTCTATGTTATTGACTTGCCTACTAATCCTCAAGCTCTTTAGTCCAGCATTAATGTTAATAAAGATCGGATTTGACCGTGGCATCTCCAACTTGATCATTTGTCTTTTCAGTCACTGAAAATTTTATTCCTGAGTCTTTATTTCTACTAGTGGGTCAAAGCTTCAATGTGAAGTCTGTGAATTTTTAAAACATTGTAGAAACTCTTTTTTGTACCAATAACAATAAAAGTATTGTTCCTTTTGTTATTGTCCATTCTGATGTGTAGGGTCCCTCTACTATTACTTCTATTTTTCGTTATCGGTGTTTTGTTTCTTTTGTGAATGATTACTCTCAGTGTATATAGGCCTCTCTTATGAAGACCAAAATTGAAGTTCCTAATATCTTCAAGCTCTTTCATATGATGATCCATAAACAGTTTGATACTATAAGTGATGGTACTTAGGTCTAATCAAGGTGGATAGTACTGCAATGGTAACTTACTATCCTATCTTGAAGGACATGACATAGAATATTAGAATTCTTGTTAATATACTTCGCAACAAAATGGGGCAACTGAAAGAAAAAATAGACCTCTTGAAAATTAGCCATGCTATTCTTGAGTATGAATGTGTCCAAGAAATACTGATAAGAAGTTGTACTTACTGCAGCCAACCTCATCAATCAGATGCCTTCTCATGCTCTAGACTAGAAATTTCCCTTTAAACTTTTGTGTCCAGATTGTCCACATTTTAATATTCCTCCTGAAGACTATGGTTGTATTTTCTTTGCTCATGTTCTTTATCCAAATCATATAAAGTTGGACCCTAAATCTCTTAAATGTATTTTGATCCAATGTTAAGGGAAGAAATTTATTTTGAAGGATGTAACCTTCTTTGAGTCCACACCTTTTCTCCTTACCATTCTTCATGGGGAGCAGAGTTTGGAAGAGAGACCTCATGTTCCCCTTCATGTTCCCATTTTTCTAATTCTGGCGCTTAGGAGGATAGTAGGGGTTTAGCATTAGGATATTGTAAGTTAGGAAAAAAGAATTAAAAGTCTACACTCGACAGAAACAAAAAGAAGTGGAAACCACCACAACTGACATGCCTCTAAGCCGGTTACAACTTTGATCCAGGTAATTCTAATTCTAATTCCATCAGTTCTCAATGTGGTCCATTGCAATACAAAAACGTAAATGCAGTTGGACTAATCTCCCGATCAACAATTTTATTTCTTATGAGTCCTTGTCTCCTTCCTATCATGCTTTCGTGTCCTGTTTATTTTTATTTCTACTCCTTCCAATGTTACGAAGGCTTTAACTCATCCCATGTGGAAGGAGGCTATCTGTAAGGAGATGAGGGTATTACTCAAGAATAGGTCTTGTGAACTGGTAGACCCTCCCAAGGGGTAGAAGTTGGATGGCTGAAAATGGGTCTACACCGTGAAGCACAAGGCTGATGGTACTATTGACTGATATAATGCGAGATTAGTTGCCAAGGGGTTTACTCGGACCTATGGACTAGACTGCCAAGCAACACTTGCCCCTGTAACAAAATGAATTCCATTTCGGTGCTTTTGTCTCTCGCTACTAACCTAGAGTGGCTCTTGCATGAATTGGATGCCAAGAATTCATTCCTTCATGGGAGTTATAGGAAGAAGTGCATAGGATATTCGACCAAAATTTTGTCCTCTTGGATGTGAAGTAAAAGTTTGTTGCTTGAGAAGGGCTATTTATGGACTAAAATAGTGCCCTTGAGCTTGGTTTGTGAGGTCCAGTGGTGTTGTCCATAGAATGCGTATATTTGATGTCATGCTAACATACCTTATTTGTCAAATGTACCTTGTTTCAACTTCAAATGATCTTAAGCAAGCAAGGCATGACAGAAATCTATGCACTATCTTGAAGGGAGTGTTATGAATAATTAATTTTTTATTTATTTCTTTTTATATTTAACTCCCTAAGGACTTATTTGTCTTTTCCATTACTTAAGGACAGTTTAGCTTTATGGGACTGAATGTTGGGTGTTCAAGAAACAACCTACCCATAGGATGAGTATAGTTAAAATGAGGATGTTGAGATGGATGAGTGACAAGACAAAAAATAATAGAATTCAAAATAAATACATTCGAGGAACCATCGGTGTCGCTTCAAATGGCGATATGATGAGGGAAAGTGCACTTAGGTAGGTTGGCCATGTGCAGCGTAGACCCAATACAGCACCGGTTAGGAGGTGTGAATTGGTTTAAGTAGAAGGTTCTCAAAGGGCAAAGGGAAAGCCCAAAAGAACATAGATGGATGTAGTGAGAAAAGATATGGGAACTTATGGTCTTACTGAGGGTATGGCCTTGATAGAAAAGAATGACGAAATAGAATTGGCATAACAGACCTCAAATAGTCGGGATAAGGCTTTGATGATAATGATGATGAACATAAAAAAAAATAAGCAAGGTGTGGGGCGTCAGTAGGATAAAAAACCATGACCCTTCTCTCCTCTTCTTTACATGACTCTCTGTCCCTCTCACATCTCTTTAACTTTCTCTCTCTTTCTATATCTAAATCTCTCTCGTACTCTTTCATCCCTCACATATTACTTTAATATATTTTATCTATTATGGCATCACCGTTCACTACTCTGCAATGCCACAACAAAAATTGATAGAATTAGAATTTCAAATTCAACTATAGAAGCAATTTCAATAGTTATTACTCAATAAAAAATCAAATAGACTTATAGAATATATTATAAGAAAAATTCAAATAGAGAAATCTGGATAGGAGTTATATTTGCACAAGGTTACTAAAAAACGAAAAATAAAATGTTATAAATGTAGAAAGGAATATATTGACAGATTGATTGGCAGGGGATGTTGCAACCAAAAGATATTACCTTTTTTTTAGGTGAGTAAAAAAGATATTACCTTTCCTTCCCCAGAAAGCAAGTCAGTGATTGCCTCGATGAGTGTCCTTTGCAGCATTCTCCACCTATGGTCACTTTTGTTGAAATCTGGATCTGGGCACTTAACGAACAAAGTCTAAGTTAACCCTGAATTTGATGCCAAATACTAATACCACAATAGCATTTAGGAGAAAATTTATGCAGCACTTACTGCATGAAAAAAAGGCATATGTTGCATATTTCATAATGAATTATGGTAGAACCATTTTTCACACAATGGAAGAAACCATTCACTTCAATATTAACATTAATTACTAATGAAATGATATGATACATGACTCAGCAAGGATAAGGGACTTAAAAGTGCCAGATAAAATAGGTATTTTATCAAGCCAATTTAGTCAGCTTATCTGCATTATAGGAAATATGTTCAATAGGTGGATTAATTGCATGCATTGAGTTGCTTACTGAACACTGCTTGGTCTTCATGCTTGAGTTCAGAAGTTCAATGTGAATGTCCCTAGTGTCAAGGGGTTTTCATACAAATGTAGGGGAGATGCTATAGAAATCTGATTTACTTATAAAAGTCAACTTGGGCGTATTTTGTTGCTTACTTCACATAACTATTCAGCACTAAACTTAAGGAAACAATTTGGAAATCAGGACATAAGAAGTTAAGGGAAGACTCCATGCATTGTATTTCTGTATTTTTTCTTTGAAACATCTTAAAACTCTCCTTTCCTTCCCTTCTGTTTGGAACTATTGCTTAACTGGCAAAACTAACTGTTGCATCAATTTTACGGCAACGAAAACAGACATACTTGGATCCATATACTTTGAAATTTCAAGATTTCATTTCACACAGAAAAAGTCAAGGGCTTGTTTTCATGTGCTCAGAAGCATACTTTGGCAGAATTTTCAAGCACCCTAGCAGTTGATCACTTCCCCTTGGTAGCCTTTTTAAGTCCTAAGTAGGCCTCCATAGTCATCCAAATACCAAATATGTAGTCAATGTACAAAAATTTCCACTCATATTTCTGTTCCCTGAGTCCGTACCCATATTTAGGCATCTTGGCGCAAAACACTTTCTAGAAATGATATTTCAATTTTTCATAAAACTAGTCCACACATATTTGTGGCAACCACTCCTAGTGAACTCATAAAGCCTCCTATGTTGGTTCCTGATTTAAACCTTCTCAAGGTTTCAACACTTCATCGTCATCATCATCATTCGAGGCTTATCCAAACTATTTGGGTTGGCTACACAAATTTGTTCCGCTACTCTGCTCTATCAAAGGCCATACCATTAGTAAGATATTAAGTCCACATATCTTTTCTTACTTCAATCCATGTCCTTTTGGGCCTTCCCATTGCCATTTTAGAACCCTCCACTTGAACTAAATCGCACCTCCTAACCGGTGTTGTATTAAATATATGTTGCATATAGCCAGCCCACCTAAGACTAATTTCTCACATCTCATCACCTGTTGAAGCCACAATGAAGCTCCCACGAATATATTCATCCTGAATTATATATTCATCCTGAATTATATACTCTCTTGTCTTGCCACTCATCCATCTCAAAATCCTCATCACAACTACACTAATCCTATGGGAATGTTGTTTCTTGACCGCACAATATTCCTTCCCATAAAACAAAGTTGGTTTAACAGTTGTTCGAAAGAATTTTCCCTTCAGCTTTATTGGTAGGCGGTGATCACATCAAACTTCAGATGAATATCTCCATTTCGCCCACCGAGCTCTAATTTTACTAGCGACATCTTCCTCAATCTCTCTATTTTCTTGAATTATCGACCCAAGATATAAAAAATACGCTCTTTTAGGTATTTCTTGGCCATCAATCTTAACTACTTCCTCATTTCTACTCCTTCCATATATTCTATCTTAGTCCAACTAATTTTAAAACCTTTGGATTCTAGAACATCCCTCTAAAGTTATAACTTTGCGTTGACGCCTCTTCTAGTCTTATCGATCAAAACTATATCATCCGCGAACAACATACACCATAGTAACTCATCTTGTAGTGGCCTAGTTAACCCGTCCATGACTAAAACAAAGAGATAGGGACTCAACGCTAACCCTTGATATAGGCCTATTGTCACTGAAAACTAACTTATCTCTAGTTGTCCACACACTAGTTAATACCTCCTCATATATATCTCTGACAATGTCAATATAGCATTTGGAGACTCCTTTCTTTTCCAACACGCACCAAATTAAATCCCTCGGCACTCTATCATAAGCTTTCTCTAAATCATTAAAGACCATGTGGAGGTTTTTTCCCTTCTCTCTGAACTTCTCAAGGAGAAAGGAAAAGACCTCCTCCAACCAAGGTTTGACCAATTTTTACCTTTATACTTGATCACCCCATAATTTCCTATATTTCCAAGCTGTAGGAAGTCAATAACTTCCAAGAAAATGTTTATTTTAAAATAACAATTGACATAACATAAGCACCCTTTCTCTCGAATAATTGTCACTTGACAAAAGTCACCTTCACTCATAAATGAAAAGGCAACAGTTACACAGCCACAGTAAACCCAACAAAACCATGAGTTTCCCTCAAGGTTGGTGGAGGCTCATGATGGTGTATGCAAGCCGAATTAACTCACAAAGTGCCTAATATCTTTTTGTATTTTTGAAAATGAATCCACGAAGGTGACCATTAAGGACTAATAGCCAAGGCATAGCCGACAAAAGCTCATGGGGAAGCATTCTCTCTCAAAGCATGTGCCGTGATAAGACACAGCACCATCTCAAAGATTTCAAGGTATAATGAAGAACCTAAAGATTATAGAGGTCATAATAATGAGTCTGAAGCAGGACAAAGCCCTTACAAATTTGCTGCTTCTTTCCTTCCAAATAGCCACAAAAAGGGCTAATACGTGTACCTTCCAACGAAGGAGATCTCATTCAAGCAATCGCATATGGGAGCAAATATTCAGGAGACCTTCAACTAAATGGGACATCACCAAAGACACCTCAATTGATAATATCCAGGTCTTTCATTCACCATTAACAGTACTGAAGTCTAAGAAACCATGATATTCTGGAGGACAAATATGGGGCCTGAACTCTTACAAAAACACCATCTGAAGTCTAATCCTTTTATGCCTACCAATCATAATTTTCATATTGGTACATTATTGATCTAGAAATTTTCCCAATTTACAAATGTTGAGGCAATGGTCAATCCAGATACATTTCCAAATGAACTTCTGATGTTAAGATCTGGGAAGCTTCCATCTCGATAGCTGCAACACCATTCAAATACACGGAATGCTTTTACACCAAGCCAATTTACGCAATAGAACTTTGATGCACTGACAAATTATTGAGGGTAAATTTACATGAGGATTTACAACATACAGGGAAGTTTGAGATAAAAGGACAGAGCAAATATATACCATGATTGATCTTCAAAGAAATTTAGCAGAAAAGAAATTGAAAATCAAATTCATATGAGAGATTAAGTTATTCTGAAGTCAGTCCCTAATTCTCAGTCCAAGAACAAAGGCCCCTAATTAAATAGCACGTTAGTCTCACCAACTTAGTAGAACTGTTCCTACATTTACCATGAAGTGTTAGAAGTGAAATTACTTTACAGCAAGAGATAAGACACGGAAATTTTATGTAATGCCTTATTAGTGAAATTGTGCCAGAGATGAATTAGTGAGTTATTCACAAAATGAGTTAAAGTAAATTGTTGAAGCCGGAATGCCAATGATTTGTTGAAATAGGAAGGGAAGTAATCATAATTAAAACACGATGATTAAAATTAATAAAGACTCAGCGCTTGCATCTAGGGTATACAATACCTGAACTGAAACAAGCAGTAAAAAGCCTGGATAACTGGAAACTATAGAGCGGAATGTTGTTGTGGCATTTGTCGAAATAAAGTGTCTGCAAAAGATGGTGCAAAGATCCATTAAAATATTTAGCTCTTCCTACCAAAAAAAATATTGCAAGCTAACTTATGCAGCAGATTACAATTTACAAATGTATATAAATTATATATCAATTATGTGATGGCCACCTCCAAAGCCTAGTATATATATAGAGTTACATGACATGGATGATTTTAGCAAACGAAGTAATTGAACAAAACACCTCATCACACTAATGCAAACCTTTATATACATGCATTATTTTGTTTCGGATAAATAGGAGACAACATCAGTACAAGTAAGGAAGTAAATGAATGGGTCAAAGTAAAAGCTAGTGTGACAATACTCTAGTGATATACAATACTCTGATGAAATACATCACAGACTTCACAGCATTTTGCATCCATTCATCTCCAGAAGATGGACATTTTCCTTATACAAGAATGGGAATTGACTTATTGGATCACATCACTTTTCTGTACCATACGAACACTGGGAGAAGTTACTCCAAGTTTTGGAATCACAGGACGTCTAAAGGGCAAAGTCCACAAAATTTTACTCCTTTGAGTTGAGTGTGTCTCGAAGGGTTGATTTTGCTTTACCAGCCTACTCTTCAACCTATCCAAGTTTCAACTGCTTAACTATTATATCAAATATCCCTGATCAGAATATTTTGGCTGAAGCATCACCAAGCGATATTTCTAATCGTAAAGAAGGCAATCCCACAGATTGCATGCTCAGATAACAAGAGATAGAAGTAGAGATTGAGAAGAAAAGAAAAACTAATGAAGAAAAAGTGGACTGTGCCCAATAAATGTAAAAGAGATGAGGAAGAAGGAGAAAAGAAAAAACCTAAAGCACAAAAAAAGGGGCAGAGCCCAACAAAAGACCAACAGATGCGATCACGATTCTAGGAACATAATGCCTTAAGGTTAAAAGCGAGAGCCTCCAATTGTGGTTGCTGACTGCGGTGAATGTGAGTCCTCTCCGAGCAATCTGAAGTAAGATTTGGGCCTCAACAACCAAGTGGAAGAACAGGTGTGAGAGCTTCAGGCTGCTGCAAGATGGTACAGCAGTTGCAATCTCTAATTTTTGAAGACCAAGAGGCCAATCCGGGCTATCTGAAATGGCAATTGGGCCTCTGCAGTCGAAAGGGTGAACGGGAGTGAGCTTTCGGGCCACTGCACTATAATGATGAGCCTGTTGTCTCTGATTTCTAGTGAGATAAAAGTGCCACTGAAGATGATGGAAGTAGCCAAGGGTCGCCTAACGTGCATAGCGGAAAGCCCCTCCCAAGTTTGGCTATACCCATTTTTGAGATTAAACTGTGATCGATTGTGAAGTCTACAGCTTCTGGGGCAGATGGTGATGGAAGTAACGACCAGGTCCAGAAGTCTATGCTAGTTAAAGGCCCAGCAGTCAGAAGAGATTAACTAGAAAGTGAAAGATAATTCCCTTTTTTCGTTTTTTCCCTTTTTTTTTCTTTTCCTACTCTTTTTCTTTTTCTTTTCCTCCTCTTTTTCTTTTTTTTTGTTGAGGAGGAGTTGAGAGGGGTAAAGAAGAGAAAGAATTTAGAAGATCAATTTGGTTGCTGATTCGATTGACCGAGAGATGCTCCGTACTCAGTTTTACTTAGTTTAAGTAGTCCGTAGATGAGATTTCCATCAAATGGTTGTTAGTAAAAAGTTTCTTAATGATGGTTCAATGTTATATCTACATTCACGTGCCTGTTTGTCATCTGTCAGATTAGTCTCTAATCAGTCGACTAAAGAAAGATATAAATGTATCAAGCAAGCATCACAGGCTTCCTTGGAGAGATTTTGGGTCATTGTACTTTAAAGGAATTCTAGAGAGAGTGTCATTATTCCATTCAATGTGTGACTTTACTACAATCTAAATGCAATAAGGCCCCTAATTTAAAGTAATCATCGAACTGTACGTCCAAGAAATAGATAAATGTCAGTTAAAAATAGAAGGACTCACCCATTTCTGAGCCCGAACTTCTGAACAGACTCTAGACAACGGTGCACAAGCTGCATCAAGATAAAATGTCTTTGATAACCATGTTTCAGCAAGAAATCAAAAGTTGGAAAAATAGAAACAAAAAAAACTACCTTTTTGTTGATCTCAAGCCCAAGGAAGTTTAGGCTACTCCACGTTCTAGCCATTCTTAGAAGGAACAAACCATTTCCTATTCATTTAAATAACAAGATATGTTACAAATAATAACAAGATATGTTGAACAAACTTCAAGAAAAATGATACAAAATATAACTCACTACAAAGAAGGGAATTATAAAGGCACGAGATATCTCTAATGAGCAATGATTTCTCAGTTGTAAAGCTTGTTCAAAATGAAAACAAAGATGAAGATGAATTTCAATAACCCAAAAATCAGGAATTATCTTACACATGTGTGCGAGGGCATATGAACGAGGACATACTCTACGAAGTCATTAATTGGGAAACATTAAAAGTATTATAGGTGAGGGAATGATAAACTCTTGAGAGCTAAATGCAATAGTATACAAAACAATGCAATGATGGAGTATCCCCTCACACCAGAAGAGAGAAATGTATCAAACAGTGCATATTTTCTGCTCCAATATAGGTCTTGATTACTTTGTATGATGTTGTAGCATCTCTAATCTCAAAAACCAGCTTTGTTGTAAATCTCCATAACCAGCTCAACTTGTATACACATTTTTTTCTCAAGAACCATGGTTCGAGAATGTGGATTACAGGTTCCCCCCCATACAAGCAAGTCACACACACATATCGCTATAGTGCAAGGGGCCTCTCTCTACAAACATATACATGTCTCCCTTTGCAGGGTTGCTTATAGTAATGCAGTTACCATGCTACATGCCGTGCAGAAGTCTTTGAGGATTTAGACCTCACCCCTACAAGTCTACATCTGCACATAGGAGACCATGAAGCTCTCTGAACCTATAAACCATCCCTTGAGCATCTCTCCGACCTCAAAAAGGGATGACTCTCTCAAAAATCTCTTTTATAGTGCCATATGCCTAGGGGTGAGGGTTTTCGATATGACCAAGGCCATAGACCGCCTAACTTAGGTCAGTGAAACAACGCATACACTCCCACTAAAGGTAGAATCCATTGTAATTCTTTGCTCTCACGGCCATAAGGGCCACAAAACCCAACAGAAAATAAGGCAAAATACAATAGTAAACATCCGAATGTAAACAATAAACATGAAGTCGGATTAGCTAGACAAGAATGGTACCGCTCCCAATGTCAACAATCAAAGGTCCAGAAGGATCATCATATATAGAACTCCAGTTAAGTACATACGGGTAAGCCTGCAAAACAATATCTCAGATCTTGAAAGACAAAATATGTGACACCACTATACAAAAATACAATGAGATAATATTGAAACAACATGATCAAGGCCCAAAGTAGTACAAAAAAATACTTCATGTTCCATGTTATGCATATTAGTTACAGACGTAATAAGAAAATCTTCCATTATAGTGACTTGAATATGAAAAGGTTATCACAATTGTTCAAGATATGAAGCAATGGTATACACTAACGAACATAATTTGAAAGCTCTACACAATTTCGAGATTTATTGGAAAGGAAAGCGATAAATACAAGAAATCAACCTTACCTCAAATGAACTTTAAAAAATAACATCTGGGAAATATGCTATCAAGATCAGCCAACAAACCAAATTATAGATCAAGAATGAACTTTACAAAAAAATACTAAACAAACTCATAAAATGAGGTTACTTAAAAGGGGCTTATCTGAAACACATAAGAAAAATGGGAAGTACGAGAGTTCATATTGCCATTGTCTTAACTGTGCAACAACAACATTTGCAGTTTTGAACTACACTATTGTTGGGGGATTTTTGGAGTCCAGTGCAAAGATAGGAAAACATGACTCAAGAGATGCTCAAGCACCACCCCACCCTGTTTAGATGATTAACCTTAACCAAAGCTTTCCTACTATTTTTGGGTAAAAAGATTTCAAGGTGTCCTCAGATACCTTGTTAATTACATTCACACATCAACTAATAGGGGAGGGGGGGGGGGGGGGGGGAGGAGGTAAATTCCGCGATTTAATCAATTACAGATTGGTAAAAGTTTAAAAGAAAAGTATAGGATACTTCTCATACATCGGAAGGGCCTTCTTTTTCATCTTGTTGTGTCAGCCTGTATGTCTTCTGTATGTATCCAATGTGTCTGTGTACACAAATACCTGTATATGTCTCTATGTGTTCTGTGTGTCTTTTATTTGGAGGCAAGTAATTTTCTATAAACTCGCATCAAACTGTTACTTTAACATGCCCCAAAATCACGTGGTAGTGTTTGTCGTGGGAGCCGAACCCAGTAACTTATAACAAGTTCGAGGGTTGATGCTTATCAGATGTCGGCATTCATGAAGCCACGTGTTGTTCTAGATAAGTCTAGATTGATCTTCATACATAATCCCTTGCCAAGTATTAAAAACTGCAGGTGGAGGATATTTAAGCTTTCACCAGTAGAAAATATGAATTTTGACCAGGAGGTTTCGAAATGTTTAGAGCCTTCAACTTCCCTCTCTAAAATAGATTCTTGAACGTGTTTTGGCCCTTATGACTAATTTCATGAGAAGTCACGAACCTAAAAAGTCGAGATATTACCAAAGGATATTTAGAAAATAGCTTATCTTTGAGATTTTGACCAAAGAGAGGTTCTATCCCATTTGCTAGAGCGTAATAAACAGAATAGAGCCTTATAAACACTTTGCCAAAGGGTAAAAGCTAAGGCAAGGGGTTTTTACTAAAGTAATTTCGGTATAAAAATGGGGAGTGGGTGTGGCCAATGTGCTAAGGGCTTCTGGTGGTTTTGTCGGAACATGTTACCATTGGAGATTTTATATTTTAAGTCAGTATTAACAGGCGTACATTTACCACTCCTAATATTATCCTTATCAGTGTGATTTCTCCTGACTCAGCCTAGGGTATGAAAGAAAAAACTTGGGTCTTTTCCTGGACAGGCTCTGCAATAAAGTCTTCAACGGTGTCAAATTTCACTAAAACAACTCTCTCTCTTGCATAGATCAATATAAACTATCAACAGTAAAGCCATAAGAACAAATACAACAACACTAGAAACGTGTATAAGGTATAGATCCATCACATGCATAAAGGTCTAAAACCAAAAACTAAAAAGTCGACATTCATATGAAAAGTTTGTACAGATTGATTCCTATTTACAGTACAAAAGTTTCTTGGTGAACATGGATTCGGAATTTGGTAGCAAGGAAGATTGCCCCCTAATTATCACAAAACATAAAAGAAAAAATCTATATAAAGGTGAGGCCCTAAACAATCAATTTAAGGCGCACCTCAAAACTTTACTAACAAAGGTTATTTCAATGCTGAAAAACCCTCAAATTCAATCATCTCGACAAGATGTAGTAATATGAGAAAAAATAGACTTCAAGTCTTGAAAATAGTGCATCTTGTAATGTATTATCTAGACCGTCAATTTTCAAGTGTTCATAGATCAGGTCGATCTACGCTATTTTTTAATCTTTAAATTTTATACTTAGAGATGAAAAGAAATTTTAGGCCATTATAAAGATTGATGATGTTGAAACAAAATATTTTGCCACTATTTGAAGGTGCGCCTTAATTTGATTATTTAGGGCCTCAATTTTATACAAACCACACCCAAACATAAATGGGGGTTATTTTCTCAAGTTTAAGATCCTTGAATGAAAAAAATATTACTTCAGCCTCAACCCAATCCATAGTTAAGAATGTAAAAATAAAATTTGCATGTTTCATCAGAGCATGTCTAGTTTACCTTAGAGTGAAGCAGTAAACTAAAGCTTGACTACTACACCGAGATGAAGGACAAAAGACATGAATCATTAGCCTAAAGCCATAATGCTAGAACCTCATCATCTCTCACTGCCCATTCTCACACTCTTGATGTAAGAGCATCAAGTGTGAAAGAGGTAAGAGCCATAGGCCTAGAACCTATAGAAATAAGAGCTCACTTCACATCCGAACTAAGAAACACTATTTTACTATCGAATGGTGCCAATATTTAAATCATTCCAAAGAAAATGACGAAACATAGTACACAATTGAATCATTAAGCATCATCCAAGGGTGGCTCCACAATCTAACCTTCAAAACATCTCAAATTCCATCAGGAACCAAATGAAAATTCCACCACAATAGAAAATTAGTGGTTGAAATTATTACAAAAAAATTTACTTCAATATTTATAGACATCTCATCCATAGTTTTTGGAAACGAGAGAAGGAATAGAAGCCGAAGCTGTAGATGGTTCATTGCTAGAACCTAGTTTAAGAGAGCCTATACAATGAATACATATAAACATCATAGAAACATATTACAAATAATAAATATATAAGATATTGTGAAACCAAAATAACATATAAAATATTTATTTAGGTATACACAAATAAATCCATAAGAACCATACAAGCTAAATACAAATTTTTAAGCTAGAAGAATGAAACAAATTTGGCACCTCCATTAGTAATTGACATCTTTTTTGCCTGTTGTAAAGGAAATCAACATTTCCTAGCATATTAAAAATAATTTTAGAGCAAGAAGCTATTGATGTGCTCCTTTCATGTTGTGTGTGTGTTTATATTGATATATGACTCCAAACAACCAAAGAAAGAAACACAAAAGAGGCAACATCTTCGATATATCAAAATATTACAAAGTTTGAGTTTAGCAGTTCCCTTGGATCCAAATATATCGGATCCTTTTAGATGGCAAGATACCCTGATCACACTCCAAAAAGAAAATTGCAGTGGTGAAGTGCAGAGATCACAGTGGAATCCAAAGGTGAGGAATATGAGCCTCACCCTTCCGGCGCAAAGAATATATGCTTAGGGTGGGAGTATGCCCTTCACATCACACAAGCCAAAATGCTTTTTGCAATGAGGTTTGATCCAACTTGTGGAGAAATGCGATGAGGTTATTGTTGCCTCAAGTTTCATCCAAAAACTCCGCATGTCCATGGTGTTATGGAGATTTGATCGACCCAAAGTAATTTTGCAGCAATATTCCTTTTCTCCTGCATTCGGGCATCAATCAGGCTTTCGATTTTATGAATAAACACACAAATTGTTATGTTATTGTTTGGGAGATTGAGTGAGGAGTTTAGCTGCAAATTTTCAGCTCCAAATACAATGTAATTTAGGATAAATTGATCAAAAGGAGGGTGGAGGTCATACAATCTGCAAACAGCATAGGCCTATGTCATCCCTACTTTGATCTTGTATCTGGTATCAATCCAAGAAATTAACCCCATTAAGATATATATGTATATAACGATAGAAAGGGAATTGAGTGAGGAATAATCCCTTCCCTCCAAATTTCAGTTCATTTCACCAACGGGCTTGGGGGATACAACCTAAAAAGAGCTGAGAGATCATCCTGTGTGGTGCATGCAAAAGTCACCCACGCAGTGTTCATGGGTACCATACGCGTCATGAATTACCACCCACAGTATCCTTTCAAGATCTCTCCAAAAATAGCATCAAACAGTATCAGATTAATTTTTTAACATAAGCTTTTTCAGGGGTCAAGCCACCATCCTGCCAAGTTTCAGCTTCATCGGCCACCGTTTGCCAGTGGTAAATCAACCCACTTTTTAGGCATGAATGGAGCACTGTAAGGGACCTCCAACTTTAAAACCTCATATCTTAGGCATCCAATATCATAGTGCCTTGATTTTTGGAGAGTTTATTCGGCACCCCTCGGAACATTGGCCCAGTTTGGTCCATCCGGCCAGGGTTTGGTTGATTTCCCTTATTGACTGCCTGTGTGACAGTTTAGTGCCATGAATGATGGCATCCTGAACCCACGGTTTCTGCCAGGGAGGCCTCATATCACACATCATTGGGATCCTCCAAAATTGGCCCCAGATTTGAGACCATTTTGATGCTCTACTGCAGATTCCAGGAGTTCTGGTGTACACAGTATTGTATACCTATTTGACTAGTCAACCGAGTGCTTCCACAGTTTGTGGGTTGCCACCACTTAGATACCATCGTATTTCCTACCTTTTAAGGATTTGTTGGGTAATATAGGATCCTGATGTCCAGCCTTGGATTTCAATCCCATGTTGATGGAAATAGTGTAGTCTAGTTTAGTACTCCATACTCCGACAATTGATTTGATGCCATATCTGGTCTTCTGATACCATATCTAATGTTTTGATATAGAAAGACACCCAAACAGTTATATATGCACTATTTTTTCTCTACTTGCATCTTAGCCGATTTTTTAAGCCTAGAGAATTACATATGATTGTTACATTTGTATATACTTGCTTATTTACTTATGGAAAAGTATGCAATAAGACCATTTACATTTGGTACATGGAGGTCACAATTAATTTTGCACCAAGATGTGAAATTGGGTGGTTGCCTTTGTTCCATTGACCAGGCTCAAAGTTCAAAAGAAATTTTTTCGCACTTTGTGACAAACCTAAGATGTTAGATTTCACATCTAACAACTAGAGGTGATTGTGACTTTTCTGTACCAATGGAAAATGGTCTAACAGTATACAACTGCTTTACTTATTTTATATCAAAATGCATTGAGTGTTGCCACATGTTGATAAATACTTTTCACAACCACCTAAGGTTCATCCTTTACTTAAGAATGTAAATATGTAATAATAAACCATTTTACCTGCCAAATTTGTACTTAACGTGTTCCACAACATTGTTTAGAATAAGGACAGAACAGAAATTCTATCACACATGAGATCCTTAGGTGTACAAAAGCCATGCCATGCAATAGATAATTTAAGAATTTTTATTATTTAATTCAGAATAAGCTAAGAATACGTTTTAGCCAAAAACAATCTTTTCCAAATATGCACTCACTATTACATTCAAGAACATTTTTTTGCCTAAGCAATGGTGTTTTTGTCGTTCATAAACCGTTTGGTGTATAGAAGCCACGTCATGTGTCAGACCAACAACACTAATTCTTGGGCAATCATCAGATCACATCAATAAGGTATGGATGGTCGCAAGACAGCATCATTAATGCCTGGACAGTGGAAAATCGTAATTACGACTTTGCCTTACACAACTTTACTATTATCTAAACTACCATATTTTCTACTCAATGAATAAGTTAAAGTCAAAATAGTATTTTACCATTCCCGGACAGTTGCAAGACAGCAACATTAACGCCTAGATTTCGTCCCAAAATAAAAAATAAAAACATAAATGCCTGGATTGTGCATAATCGTAATTTTTATTTTCAAGGGATAAAAAAACATTTCCAGGCCCCCCCCCAAAAAAAAAAAAGTAAGGACGAAATATGGCAGCATTCCCATGACCTGTGGGAGCACGTTTCCCTTTTAAAAGATTGTGCTCTGCCTGCAATAGTCTCTCCAGAATGCGGGATCATGATTCCTGAGCGGGATCGCCACTTTGGACTGGCTATCCAGTAAATAGGATGCCATATTTTCATTTCGAATAGAATAAAATCCATACAACTCTAGTTACACAGGTAGGAAATCCTAAAGAACTAAATCTTTCCAAAAGGAATCATTACATAGCATACCAACAACTATATAAAAAAATTGTGAGATGATTTTTGGCTAAATTAGTAAATTGCAACAATACTAGTAGAATATCAATTGAATGTCGAAATTAACTCCAACTACCATATATTTTAGAAGGCAATTAAATCCAAAAAACATACCTGGTCAAGTGCCGCTACACCAGGTAGACTTTGGCCTTTAAGAATTTTCCATACAACTGCAGCACTTTTAAAACAATATTGCATTGATTGTGAAGTCTCTACTTCCTTGATAGCTTTGCAAGCAGCTCGCCCCACAACAGTTAAAAGGCACCCATTTGCACATGCTTGACCAAGGGTAAAAACCAAGCGAGATGCTCCATTTTTTTCTTGTGATGTGCCAAGCTTTACAGGACCAATCCAAAGAACCTTCTACAGAGACCATATAAAATGTAAAAATCAATAATAATAGAAAAAGTCTAATAGCACCCCAAAGAACATTTAAGTGTTTAGTATTGACACCACATTGTACATGTGCACAAATTTCTAGAAAAAAAAGGACAATGATGAAGGGAAAAAGAAGTCTATTTTAATTTTAGTTTTGGGGTCTATTTTTAGGGTTTTAAAGTTTTTTAAAGAATCTAGGAGTTTTTTATATTTTTAATTACTATTCATTGATTACTATTAATAGGTATTGTTCACAGGTACTATTTAAAGGGGTATCTCTAAAATTTTAGTATTGTTTAAGGCTATTTTAGAGTATTAAATTTTACTTGGATCTCAAGTTAATTTTTTAGTTTAGGCTTATAAACATCGGATGCCACATTTTGGAAGGCTTATGTTATATGAAATGATTTTATTTTATGAAGGAAGAAAGTTCTTCTTTTGGCTTTAGTTACAGCAATGTTTTTTCCCCATTATTGCTGATCTTTACTTGTTTCAAATTCAGGAGAAAAGTGGATATAATTTCTCACCACTCCTTCCTGCATCAAGTAGTATCAGAGATCCTTTTGAAGAGGGTTAGAGATTGCGATGGCTGATCATGGAGGTCTTAACCATAGGGATGCCAATCTGATCTAATTGTGCAAGGAAATCAACAACTTGACAGAGAGGGCCACACAGTTGTTGCACAAGCAAGGCCACCAATAGTGGGCCCTAAACAAAGAGGAATCTACATGGATGGATCCAAATCGTTGGGGTGTTTATGGAGAATGGTACGAATCAGAGTCCAACTCAGAGTGGGAGGAGAACGATGACGTATCAAGATACATAAATGATTTCGATGTGCAATGGCGTCGACGAGAGAATAATTTTGAAGAAGAACAAAAAGGATCCAATCTTCTATTAGATTCAATAATCTTTGAACTAGTGGATGGTCCTATCTTCGATAGTACTCCAATCTTTGATAGTAATCCTATTTTTGATGAAGAGTCAGGTGATCCTATCTTTGATAGTGGTCCTATTTAAGATAAAGAACTAGGTGATCCTATCTTCAATGGTGAAGTCGAAGAATTTAGAGAATCGTATCTGTGATGAAGAACAAGTTACAGGTGACGGATCAGAGGTGTGATTATGTGGAATTTAAGGATATAATATCAAAAAATTTCTCTTTTTCTTTTGTTGTTGAGTATGAATTCCACTTACAATTGCCACAACACACTGTTGTAAACGAAAATTAAAACCCTAAACAACACCTTGGACCTTCCTTATTACTGCCAAATCAAACAAATACAATCCAATACTAAAATCCAACCTTCCACTATCAACTTAAATACAAAATATGTTTCTAAAAAATCAAAGTAAATTTACAAATATAACTGGTTACAAATAAAAATTGCTAGAAAGACTTACGAATCATGCCTAAGATTGACCCTATAAGACTTGGTACACCCCAAACCCTATTTCCTGACCAATGGCGCACTTCCTATCCAATTGAACTTGCTGAAATTTCAGAGATATGAAGCTTTCATAGGCAATACCTCTTAAATTAGGGTTTTAGAGAGCATGTCTTGAGATCAAATTAGGGCATAATATGAATGGTGAAACTCTTCCTAGGCTTGGCATATCTCTCTCCAAACAATGGAACCCTAGATTAGGGTTTGGCGCACTACCCCCTCTTATTTTATTTTAAGGCAGCGTGCCACTAAGATGGAGAGAGGAGAGACAAATATAATTTGGGATGAGAGATTATTTTGAGGCAAGGAGGAGAGACAAATAGGAGAGAGAGAGAGGCTCAACATTTTATGGAGAATTAGAAGGGGCCAAACCTCCTTTTATATGTCACAATTGCCCCCCCCCCATCCCAAAGGTATACCTATCAAAAAATCCAGCTTGATCAATAGCAATTTAAGAAATCTGTGAGGTGAGAGAATAAATATGAGCCTTCCATCCCATAAATTAACCATCATGATTTAGAGAGGAACATTTACCCTTAATATTTGACCCATATCTACTTCTAGTCAAAATACGATTAAACCACTCTAGAATCTTCTAGAACTTCCTAATATCTCTTTCAAAAATTGTAGGAAGTCAAAGATATATTTATTTCGGTCAAAACTAACTCCCATCAAAAAAACAAAAAGAAAACATAATCTTTCCTTTTAAAAGATTATTTAACTAAACCCATAAAACATATAATAATTAAAAACAACATTCTGAATTAAAAGAAAGGGGGCGTGACACCCAATAGGCTACACGTACCCCCCTTGTTGCAACCTGTGGGGCTGGATCCAAGGGCCCTGCATGTGGCCTTCTTAATTGTCATAATTACAAAAACACACTTTCAAAGTATTTTACAGCAGAAATAAATTTTAAAAAATCTGACGTAAATTTCTAAAAAATCACAAAAAATTATATTATTACAAACAAAATATCTAGAAGTAGATTAGTACCAATGGGTCAAAATAAAGTGACTATAAGGGCACTCCACCTAACTTGGTGACACTGATCCACAACTGTCCTCTCAAACCGACCCAACAAAACCCGTGGCCCACAATCTCATGCAGGGGCTCATGGCTGGCTTGTCAAAATCAACCAATAAACAGTGGAACCACAGTCCTATAATGTGGATTACAGTTTTCACCCCTCCTTAAAAGCAAATCACACATATCAATATAGTGCAAGGGAGACTCTCTCTATGGGAGACTCTCTCTATGCATATGTACACATGTCCCTCTATAGGGATGCTTCATGGAAATGTGGTTGTCATAAATACTGACCATTCGGAAGTTTATTGAGGATTTCGCCCTCGCTCTCACAAGCCTACAACCCCAAACAAAAGACCATACAGCTCTCTCGGCCTACAAATCAGCTTTGGGCATCTCTTCGACCTCAACAAGGGAAGACCCACTATAAACCCTTTTTTATAGTTCCACATGCCCAATGGTAGGAATCTTGGACATGATCAAGACGATAGAACTTCTAACCCTTCGTCAGTCAAAAACAATGTACACTCCCAATGAAGTGTATAATCCACTGTAAATATCCTTTTACATGCTTTGACAGCTTTGCAGGCCACAATCCCCAATATGGTAATGGTAGCAATGATGGTAATAATAGGGATAGTGGTGATGAATAGGTCGAAGAGCAAGCAATTAAGAGTAGCAACTGTAAAGAGCACTTTTCTCTACCCAATGGTGGCCTTTCCTATTTCCAACTTGAAGATTCCACCCCACAGTTGCACACCACCATAGTTGATTATGCCAAAACCTTCAGTGATTGGTTCAAAGATATTTTAATCAGTCCCATAACCCATCAGTCATAGAATCAAGCCCCAAGGTCAATGTGCAATATTCGAGTTACAGCGACCTTATGTTTAACGGAGGATTTGTAATTAACACACTTCAAAACTCGAGGATGAGCTTTTTCAACTAGGGGAGAATGATGGAGGGCAAAATTATTTTAATTTTTAATATTTGTTTAAATTCAAAAATGTATACTTTAATTTTAGTTTTAGAGTCTATTTCAAGGATTTTTAAGTTTTTTAGGGACTCTAGAATTTTTTACTATTCACTGGTTATTATTTATATGTACTATTCACGAGTAGTGTTCACGTGTATCTATCCATAGGATATTTCCAGAATTTAACAAAAAACTTAAGGTATTTTAGAGTTTTAAATGTTTACTTGGATCTCAAGTTAATTTTAGAGTTTCATAGGCTTATAAAATGTTGGGTGTTACATTTAGGAAGGCTTATGTTATTTGGAATGAATGTTTTATTTTATGAAAGAATAAAGTTCCTCTTTTGTCTTGATTTACAGATCATGTTTTTTCTCCATTATTACTGATTTTTACTTGTTTGAGATTGAGGAAAAAGATGGATATAATTTCCCACCTTCCCTTCTTTGTCCATAAGATACCCATATGTTCACCGACAAGTCAAAATTATATACAATACAGATAGTAAAAGATGAGACATGTCAAGGAAATATTCAGGGAGGTCCAAGACTCTACCTAGGTCTCTAATGGTACAAATCAAGGCTCAATTGAGTCTCTTGTTAGAAGCTAAAGGGAGTAGTTCAATTTTCTCAGATCAGAAATTCTTTGCTATATGGGGTTTTCATGTTCCTATGGTTTGTTTTCTACAGCAAAGCCCTCCAAAGAAGTGTTACAAGAATTCAATTCAATATATGAAGAAGACATTGACTTCATCATATCAGGCAGTTCATAGGCAGCAGATGTCTCATGAATAATTGCAGTTGAGAGGTACGTTTAGGACATGATTCACCCGAAGCTTTCCATCAATAGATTTTCCAGACCATTTCTATCTTTGAGTCAATTCCCATAAGAATTGGCCAAAGCTTGAATCAGATTTTTAACTATTTCTCAATCAAACATAACTACATTAAAAAAAAGTATAGTAAATAAAGTACAAATTGAGCAGCTAAAAACTCCCATAACGTAAATTCTCCCCCAATACTCCCTAATTAGCCACTACAAAGGCGATAGACATCTTCAACTTTGTGTTTATTGTGATTTGTGAGTGTGAGTTATGTTCATAAAGAAGTAAATTGTGGGAGCCGTGGCATGAAATATTGTTGTTCTCACGGAGTTTGTTCATTGTGTGGAGTTTGTTCATTGTGTGGAGTTTGTTCATTGTGTCTCAATAATGATCTTAGTTCACCAATCAGTTTTGATTAAGCTGCAAGTATTAAGGGGTCATCTTATCCTCAATAAAACTTTGCCCATTTTTATAGAACACAATTTCTAGAAAAAAAGGCTGTTTTGGCAAACATTTTCTCTCAAATTCCATCTCCAACAATCCATCTTTTATTCCTTCTCCATTCATCATCTCCATCTCCACCAGCATCTGACTAGAGACAAACTTTCTCTGGAGCATCTCCATCTCCATCACAACCACCACTCTCACAAATACATCAACAACCCCCAATCCCCCCCCCCCCCCCGTACCCCTCTAGATCTCCCTCTCGAGCTTCTGATTTCGAGCCTAAAGCTGAAATCAAATTTAACCCAATCACCATCTCGTAAAACTTAGGTATGTTCATTGATTTTTGCATCATTTTTATAATTGCAATTTTTTCTTATCAATCTTTTGATCAAAAGATTGATAAGAAAAAATAGCAATTATAAAAATGGCACAAAAATCAATAAACATACCTAAGTTTTGTCACAAAATATATTGCAAATGAGTGACATCATCTAAGCTCATACATTCCTGAAAGATGTTTCAAATTTGTTCATTGTTCACTTCTAAGTTCATTGTGCTTTCAGCAAATCTTATATAAAATGTGCAACCCTTTGTTTATCGCATGTCACTTCTATCCTTTGACCTTTAATGGAAATATATAATGGGCGTGGTTTGTATAATGCACCCTCCTTATGGTATAGAAGTAAGCGCCTCTAGATTTTGTCTGAGATGTCGTTCTAGTGTCGAAAACCTTATGATGGCTTGAAAATCTATTTTTACTCCTAGTTATAAAATTTAAATTTCAAAAATGCAACAGATAGAGCAGATCGAATAAACCCTTAAAATCTTGGAAATAGGGGGTCTAGATAATTATTACAGGATATATCATTTTTAAGACTTGGTCTAATAAGGGTGAGGACCTTAAACCTTCCCTTAGCCCATTCCAAGCCCAAGTAAAGGAAGTGGATTGAGTTAGGTAGGCAACCAGCGTAAAACTTTGCCACATCTTATAATAAATTCTGTTAAAGGAATAGGATTCATAGAGCAAATTCCAAATAATTGGGACAAGGCTTGGATGATGATGAATCTTTTGATCTTGTGATTATAATTCTAACTCTTTTATATAAGATTTTGACAATAATTACTTTTCTTTCTCTTATTTGCTTTGGTTTCCAATGGGTTTTGATAGATCTAAAATAAACACAAATACATTAATTATTCTAGGGAAAGAAAAATATGGCAATAATGTTTCATTTAGACGATCATTTCTTCATGTAAAAGACAAGATAGGATCAAAAGTATCATGCTACACATGAAAAAGTTGTTTATATGTAAATCAGAACAAAAGAACTCAAACATCTGAGAACAAACAATGCTGCAGATCTGAAATATATCATAAGCCCATCACTATCACAGCCTTATTGATGACAAAGATAAAACAAATAAATTCCACAACATCTTCATAATTAAATAGCAAGAAACATGTAAGACGTTTTACATCTGGGTTTTCACCAGATCCTCCTAAAATAACTCAATCCGTTGACTACGCCGACACAGAAAACTTGCTAATGATTTAGATACTCATATATAAGCAATAAGAATGACAATTTAAAGCATGAGATATACACAGCAAAGACGACAAACAGATGGATCTAAGTGAAAAATGCAAGGGCCACAACAGATGCAGAGATTTAGCAATTTATCATAAATAACCAACCAAATTGATAAAAAAGCACAAATTCTTCATCTTCAATAAAAACAAATTCAGAAGCAGCAGAAACACACAAAAAGAAATTTGAAAAACAATCAAATCTACATATATATGGAAAGATCACATCCACCCCATCAGATAAACAGTGTGGAACATTGAAAATAATGTTTGTGCAAATATAAATAGGTTTGGTGGCTTGAAAATATCCAAAATGCAAGTTTTACAAACAGATGAGTCTAGAGAGTGGAAATATAGAACCTAGGTTTCATCTAGAATCCATCCAAATGGCACATACCCAAAACCCAGATTTAAACTTACCCATATTTAAAGTCAATAATAAATAAATAACTGGTTTTGGAGAGAACCTAAGTACTTTTTTCCCCCAGACAAATACCCATAAAACTCTATAAGAATATTGATTGGATTTATGCTAATTAAAACAAGCAGCATTTATCACTTTGCCCAGTGAATTATGCAAAAAAACTCAGATGACTTTATACATTCATTCTTACTCATTATGTATGTACACAAGTTTTTTCACAGAAAACTTTCTATGTAATGTAACAGAAATTTTGAAAGCACCACTATCAACAGTCAAACTATAAATTTCACCATAAATCAATTCCCCTCAAGCCAAGATGTATTTCCACTTCATCCTATAAAGAAAACAATATGATTCTTATCAAGTTCTTGTTGTAAAGATAAAACAGCTTATGAAGTCTCATTCACCTGACCTTGCTTTCAGAAAGCAAAGAAGATATATCAGTTAATGACTTCGGTCCAAGATCAATTGGTTTCCAACCTAGACAATCAGAAGGCATTAGGGAAACATAAACAATTTGATAATTGAATATAGAAAATTGCAATCATAGGAAGTGATATAAAAATGACTTTTATGTTCAAAGTAATGAATAGAACTAGAAATAATCTGTAAACAGAAGGCACATAAAGTGGTAAGGACTTGAAGAATTAATAAAATGATTTGGTGCATTGCATATTAATATGATTTTCTAAATGTATTGACATTTTTATGCATTCGCTTACTTGGGAAGGGTTATATGACATGAATGGGAGTTTTTTTTTTTTTTTAAAAAAAAAATTCCAAAGTTCTGTAATCATGGAGAGGAGAAATTTGCTTTTTCACCTACCTCTTACAATTTCACGTTGATAAATTTACATTTTACTTACAGATGTCTGAATGTAATTTATTTAATCTGCCTAGAGACTCGATGATCAAAGTAGCCTTTATGCCTACGGTTAAAATCAGGTTTGGTAATTAAGAATGTGCAACCATTGCTTCTATAATTGAGTACTTCTGAAAGTAATAGAAGAGAATAGCATAATTACTATAAAGATGAACATCAATAATAATTAATCATGGTTCTGGACCCAAATTTGTTAGTTGATGGCAGAGTCATCGGGATGCGAGAAGGGTTAGACAAGTGTCCCCTCTCAAAGAGATATAACCCATAACAAAAGAGAACTTGATGCCCACAAAGGCACGTTTATGCCTTGGATGATGAATAATATTTAAGATATCATTGATCAAAATCCAATTGGCTAAAAATAAGTAGGAAAACTGGCACCTAAACAAGCCTTGCAATCACTTTCAGGGATGTATAATCAATCAGATCAAGAATTAAAGAACGTTTGCCAAAAGATAAGTGCTTGACTAGCAAATACACATGGAGCATTTTATGACTAGCAAATAGAAATAGAGCATTTTAGCATTTGAAAACTCAATTTTAATAGTAATCATGTATAAGGATATTTCTCCGACGAAGCAAATACAAGAAATTGCATCATGCATAAAGATCACCATATCGTCCTATGGATTTCATCAGCCTAGTTAAAACTTGCTAAGGGCCAATAGGTAAATCATATAAAAGATCCAATCAGTGTTTTTAGACTCAGCCGAGTCCACTCAGACTCGGCCTCGGCTAGTATGCCCTAAGTGTACACCAAGAAAACTCTCTCTCTCTCTCTCTCTCTCTCTCTCTCTCTCTCTCTCTCTCTCTCTCTCTCTCTCTCTCGCTCTCTCTAAATCACGCCGTCTCCTCCCTCTCTCTAAATCACATGGTTGGAGGAAAGGCCACTGTCTCTCTCTAAAAACAGGGCCTACCCTTACTCTCTCTCTCTCTCTCTCTCAAAATAGAGTAAAAGCCAAGCAAATCCTCTCTTATCAGATTTTGTGGTGTTCCCCTCTCTCCCTACATTGATTCCTCTCCCTCCCATTTTCTGGCTCTCTTCAGTCCATGAGTTATGCCTCATGATGGCTCTGATGAGTTCAAGAAAAGCATGGGTCTGAAGCTTGTGGTAAGCCTTGTGATGCGTCTAATTCTCAATGGTCAGCTCCATTTTATGTGGCTAAAGGAGCCTGTCTAGACTCCTTAGGGTTAGGGCTTATGATTCTAGGGTTTCATAAAGTTCTTAGAATTAGAGGATGAGTTTCATGATCCTGCCATCTAGGCATTGTCTTGACTCCTGGCTATTTGCAGTGATAGACTTCAGCTCGCCATGGAATCTTGCTGCTGGTTATAATCTTATTGGAGGATCGAAAAGAGGGTAGATTTAATTTCCTACCTTTCTTTCGCATCATAAAGGAGGTGGATTGAGAGGAGTACAAGTGTTATAATGGACATTACTTTCTCTCTCTCCCATTGAAGCTCTCTGGAGCTCTGAGGCTCTCGTTAAAGCTTGTTGGTTTCTCTCTTGTTGAAGCACTCTGGTTTTAGTTCTAAAGAGGAGGGCTCTCCCTCCATGTGCCCAATGCCCCTCCCTTCTCATAGGCTTGTGGGGTTTTACTTTCTTTTTTTTTATTTTTTGGCTCTTTTGAGTGTACACGCCAAGTAACTCAACTCGAGCCAAAGAAGAGTACTTGGCCCGAGTCGCTTTAAAAAACATTGGCTCCAATAATTTTTAGGGCCATATTATTCAAGAGATAGTAGAGATTGGGTATTTAATCCTAGGCATACTTTGCATGTCATGGTTGATTACCCCAAACCATTGCAGTTCTAATACATTCTACGGACACATAATGTTCATCCATACACATATGGATACTTTGTAAACTAGAGGCATTTTGTATAAAGGATAAATAGCTAAACCGTTGAATACTTGATTAATGATATTTTGCATAGTTTATTCCAATATATAACAAGACATCAGAGCTACGGTTGGAAACCTAGGCATCCAAAGTACTTATCTTTCTGTTATAGGTGAATCTGTAGAGGCAAATTAAAACCCTTTTTTTTTTGGAAAGCTAACATGCCATTAGGAAAATCCGCATATTGAAATTTGATTGAAGTCGGTGATGCATGTAGTTTATTATCCAACATCCTTATTCAAAGTTTTTATTCCAAAAGAAATCTTCAGTCAACTTTTCTGTACCTCCTATAATCAACAAAGGAGGAAACAATATAACTGCAAAAAGAAGAACAACAGGCACAGGAATTCTATGAAAACCCACAAATAATAAAATAGATAATGATTGGTCCATGGCCATGGTAAAGTTCATGACCACAGAAAATTCACAATTCAACTGGTAAAAATTGCTTCTAAGTGAAATGATCCTTCAGTCAAGGAGGTCAAGAAGATCTCTCGTATTGCCATTATTTGTTTCATTTAATAAGTTGTAGGCTGGTAGCTTAATTAGCTAACTGTTTTGAGAAAGGAGATAGCGGGATTCAGAATGAAACACAATCCATGGTTCAATGTGATTTGTTAACCCAAAACAATGAAAGTAAACAATCACAAAAAATTGTTTTATTAAAACTTGAGCAGAACTAGTTCAAAATTCAAATTACCATCTAAGAGATCATGAGCTGGGAAAACATTCAAGAGCTTTGGGTTTTCACTGTTCATGCACCAAAAATCTCTTGGAATTAGAATCGGTATGTTCCTTTCTTTTGCTAGGTTGATTAACTTCAAAGCTTCTGCTGCTGCACCAACTTCCAAAAGTCCTGAGGATACAGGCAGTCCTAAAGCATGCATAAATTGAAATGCCATTGTACCAACGAATACCAGTCCATCACAATGAGAAGCAAGATGACACAAGGCAGATGACTTGTCCATCAGATTTCCCCCTCCAATCTGCATCCATTTGTGGGAGAGACCAATATCAATGAAGAAAAAACACGTCAACACCATAACAACAAAATTTAGGGAAAATAATGACTTTCATCTTTCAACTCACTCATTATTGTTTTACCAATCGTCAAGAACTAATATTCAACAAATGGATGGACAGCTCAGTATATATCAAGACAACTACTGGAAGGCACGTATTTGAAGCCTTATTCTGAGTAAAAATGTCAATTGGGTGCCCATGAGAACTTTTTTCTTACATCAAATCACAACTTAAAGGAAATTGTTGCATTCAGGAAACAAAATCATAACGATAAAAGCTAACAAGTAAAGGGCATCTACACATTACATAAACCCAACTTTAAAGATCAGTGCAGTCATAGATGTTAAAACAGATGCATGTAAAGAAATATGAACGCCAAATCAGGAAATTGCTGTGAATTAGTGAGGAACTTGACTATCATAGACATGACACAAGGAAATCGCTCTTCACATGATGGACATGAACATCAACCCAAAGGACTGTCACCAAATTTGGTGATCTCCTTCCTCATCTCAAAAGCATTACAAAATGTGCACAAGCTTCAAACAAAAATGCGCCTGTCTTAGTTTAAATAAAATTTAAAGGACCCATGAAAAAATGAAATATGTGGCGTTGTGACAGCCTGGCAATTTTTACGTTCTACAAACCTTATCACTTGATTCATTCACTAGTCTGTCGTTCATCCATGATATTCAGACGTAGAATCAAAGTCCCAGTTTAGCCTATTTGTTACCACCAAAAGCCCAGGTCCGAATGTTATATATGTCAAATACTGGAGGTAAAGACTGCGATGACCTAGAACACTGCCAAGAAACTATTTACATTATGTCTCCTTCATGCTATCATGTTTGATTTGATCTGAAACTTGGGGTGAGGATTATTTGTGTCCCCTCAGCTTAATATTGCACCAAAACTCATGGACTTAGCCATTGAAAGCTGGCAGGTGGCAACTATGTCATCCTTGGGGCATTTAAGTATTGCCAATGCCCAAACCCTATGGAGCGTCCCATATACTGCCATTCAGACAAGCACCAAACTTATCATGGCATTACGCACATTCAAAACTCACGGAGAGAAAACATATATCAACATGCAGCAAAGAACAACAGATCAGAGAAAAATATGAATGTCAATAATATAATGGCCTCATTGGCCCAAAAACTACAATTTCTTGGTTCGATCACGTTTACATGATGTCTCCTTCATGCTATCACATTTTATTCAATCTGAAACTTGTGGTGAGGATTATCTGTTTCCCCTCAGCTTAATATGGCACCAGAACACATGGACTTAGCCATTGAAAGCTAGCAGGCGGCAACTATGCCATCCTTGGGGGATTTAAGTACTGCCAATGCCCAAACCCTATGGAGCATCCCACATACTGCAATTCAGACAAGCACCAAACTTATCATGGCATTACGTAGATTCAAAACTCACGGAGAGAACATTTATCAACATGCAGCAAAGAACAACAGATCAGAGAAAAATGTGAATGTCAATAATATAATGGCCTCATTGGCCCAAAAAACTACAATTCCATTGAAAATATATTTGACATATAATAAACGTAGCCAATCCATCCTGGCTGCATGCAAAACCTTCTAATAAAATGTTTTGATTTGTTTTGAATTGAATATATACACACAGTGAATTATATGCATGCATCTAAGTTTTCATGAGTATACATTGGACGTATGTGGAAGTACAAAGACACACTAATGCACCCGTTTGTGAACTTAAATAGCAGTCTTCAGATAAATTGCAAATTTCATTAATATTCTCAACCATAGTATAAAGTTAAGTTTCTGAAAGAAGCAATCCAGACATGAAGTAGAATAGTTATAAAGTAACATAAAGCAGTAACATCAACAAAAAAATAATATTTCTGATCTAATTCAAAAACTTAAATGTATAGAGTAGCAAAATCAATTATGGGAAGACCATACAACTGCGATATAAGGTCGCTTGATGATTTCTAAAGCCTTTGTTAGTCGAAGTAGCTCCTCCTCAAAGTGGAAACCAGCAACGGATGCATGGGCAAATCGAACAACTCCAACAGTTGATGCAAGAATTCTATGAGAATCAGAAAATGCATCATTAACGAAGATATCAATTCCTGATGACAGCTTTTCTGAAAATATCGGACAGTTGGCAACTTCTTCTTTGTAAACTGAAAGATTCTCCAAAAGAAGAATATCTGCAGTCTCCAATTTTTGTTGTTTAGACTGAACCCTGCCATAAATTCCATCTGCAGCTAATACTTTTACTTGGAGAAATTTAGAAAGGTAATCTGCAAGGAAAAGTCATCGTATTAATAAAAGCAAAATTATGATTACAAATGCCATTTCTAAATTCAAATCCAGCTACAATTAAATAGACAATTTCATCAGCCTGGCATTACAAATTAATATAATAAAAAATAATGAAGTCCACACGCATGACTTTACATCATAAACCTGTTCACTAAATGAACCTTCTGTGACTCTAATACAAATTGGATCTCATTTTACAGCAGAATAAGATCATTTATTTACAGACATTGATGCTGTAGCAAAAGAAACATCTTCATAATTGAGAGGAAGGGCAAACATCACTTTCAAAAATAACTAGTTTAAGAATGTGCATTCTCACTACCTAAAGGAATAGAATCAACCTGCAACAGACTGTGTAGGAAGACGTGTTGAGCCATTGGGCTCACCCCAGTCAGTGACTATAACCACTTTGGCACCAGCATTGCATAAATATTTTATGCTTGCAAAAGCTCTGTGGACAGATTTGAGCTCCAACATCTGGCCCTCCTTGAATAGAACAGTGGAATCAAACCGAACCATGACAATTTTGCCAAATAGATCCTCCTTTGGATAATTTCTGAGACACTGTACTGGCAGGATGATGTCTTTCTCAGCTCCATTGCATAATTCAACCTAAAAGCCAAACCTTAGGGGTGCAATACGCAGTTACAAGAAAAACTATAAAAAAAAAGTGGATAAACAACATCAGTTTTGGTAATAATTGGAAATTATAAAACAGTGAATAATATTTGAACTATTCTGTCTCGAATGTCACAAAGCAATCCACTGAGCATATCATCATGGAGAATTCATTGTTCTATTAAGAAAACATCGATAGCAAACAAAGGCACAAATCAAAAAGTAAATCTTCTCTTCAGAACGTCATAAAACTTAAAATACATCTTACACAATCTCTAGAATGGTTAATACTTTGGTCAAACACCTTCATAGGTTCAGAGAACAGAAATCAGCTCATGTTATCTCCTAGAATATGGAGGGTATTTAGAGATAAATATAGACCCATGTGACATTTTCTTTTCTCCCATCCCAAACTAGGCACACCTAAGAAAACTTCAACAACCACAAAAGTTCAGATGTCATTTGTAAACTAGCATAATAAGAAAGCCTTATTCAATGAAAAATGTTTCCACTCAAGATCAAAAGAGGTAGCAAAGGAATATAATTGCTGACTAGGCAACCCGCCACCTCAAGTCATATTACTGCGTATATGAACTTGAATAAATATGCAGTAGGACTCAGATCTTGGACAAAAGCTTCCAGTTCTATACCACTAACATGCTGGAGTAAGATTTCAATATTGTTGACAAATATGTCCAATATCAAGCACCACTAACCACAGAATTTGAAGTTTTATGCCAAATCCCATTTGTTGAAACTCTTGGTCATTTGATACAATGCCCTCATATTTTCTGATGAGATAAAGTTCAACATAACTTATTTCAACCATGCAAAGATTATTCATGTAAACTTTTGTTCGATAATCAAACATTCATATGGTTTTACTACGATAGAAGCTGAAAATGATATGCAGGTTCTGGGGTCACTTCCATACCATTTCTCAAGAAGATTCCATGATTGACTACCCAATGTTTTATTTGCTCGAAATCTTGCCAAATTCCATGTATTTGTTAGATAACTTCAAATTGTACACATAGCCATATCTTAAATCTTCAGACAAGGCCATGGACTCGTGCTTGTCAAAGCTTGGGATCAAGTTAAACTTCAACTTCCAAGATGCACCACCCTACAGCCAGCAATAGATATTCCCATGTAATGGGTAGATATGGCATTAAGCACTAGCATTATGGTGAGAATACACTTGACTTCATGTCTTCACCTTTTATCTCACTTCCGTTTTCAAGAAACTCTATACAACATCCGAATTTGCAAGTGCAAGTTAACCGAACAAATTCCCAATTGATCTAGGAGGCACCAGGTACAGAACCACTATTGTTGTGTGAATCGGAGGATTTCTCTAATATCATTTGTCTAATGCCATTTCAGTTGCCTGCCATGGATATTCCCCATGTTGTTTAAAAACTAGTAAATTCAATTGATTAAAATATCTTTTAAATGTATCTTGAACTCATTTAAAGAAAACAGCACTCCATTGAGTTGTTTTGATGTAAATATACAGTACTTTTGTTTTATTTTGGAGAATTTGATGTAAATGCACAGCAATGGTGCAAAGCTGTAAGTGCCATGTACTTAATTTTATACAAGGGGTTTCAATGACAGTTTCAAGTAAGTATTTTCCATTTGATCGCAGATATTGTTCGCCTTTATGCACGTCATTCTGTGACCAGGGAGAATAACCTTTGACCTTTCTTCTTATTGTATTTATTATTCAATGTATTCAATCCGATAATTTATAAAAAAGGAATTCTCTAAAACTCTTTTTGGTCTTTCATCATCTTACATTCCAGATGATTCAGGTCGATGAGATCTCTGTTTGAATGGATCAAACTGACGACTCTAGAATATTTGAGATTTTCAATTTGGGAAGGGCAAGATTCCATGGCACTTCACATGGTGTTTTGAGAAGATCTCAAGTCTAAGTGGAATATACATATGGACTCCAATTGGCTTTCTAAACGGGGGGAACAACAGGCTTGCATATAGTTTTCCTGATTTGGGACTCTCTGGGTTCATTTTTTGGAGATGTTTTTATGGCTCAGGGGATGTTCGATGGAGATGGTCCCCATGATAGTCTTGAACATTTTCACATTTTTGTTGGATCTAATTTTACACAAATGGTTGTTTTATCAAATCAGAAACATTTATGCCTACAAAATGCAGCCAGTGTGAAGCAAAAATCTATCAATAAGTCCTTAATTTCATGCTGTTAGTTGCTAAAAATATTGCAAACATGGTTTAAATAATATCACTTATGAACATATCTCTATCTCTTATTGAAGTGTTCTTCCACTTACATACAGGTCATTCAGCACAATATTTCAATAAGAAATGATAACAAAGTAGGTGACAGGTCTGATATTACAATTTTATTACAGATATTGTCCTTTAATCGTGGAAGAAAAATCAAGAATCAAAGGCCAGATGAAATTAGACACTTTGGCATCATCAAGTTTGTAAGAGAACTATATGCACAATGGAAGGATACCTCATAATCAACTGAAGTGTTCTTTATTGGCTCTGTCAACATATGCCTGTATCTAACTTTCAATCGAAGTAGGGAGCTTCTAGTTCTTCCTAATGATGTAAAAGTGAAGAAAAACTAAGGAAGCTGAAGAAACTAACCGATGAATGAAAAATTGAAAAGTAGAGCTTGTGATTAAAATTGATAACTTGGAATCAGAAATGGAAAACCTTTCAAGCCTTGTCTTTCAGTGGAAACATCAAGACCTTGATGTAAAAAGAGGTGAGATGGTATGGATAGTTGGCACTGATGATGGCACCCCTGAATGCTACTGGAATTATGAAATGAGAAAGCTCCTTGAACATTGTGAAGATGTTGGATCATCTCTACCTGTCCAATATGTACATAAAATAATTACATAAATCATTAACACTATTCAACTCGCCATAAGAGACAATAGAAAGATGCAATTGCGAATTTATTCATGCCATGGAATGGTAAATTTCTTTAACATGTGCTTATCCAATAAAGATGTATGACATGAAATATGACATGTACTAAGGTCGCTTAGGTCGGCCCATATAGTCAACTTGTATCTAAGAGTCAATCACAATAGCAATGGAGACATAGTATAGAATAGATTTAGTGTTATATTTCATATCGATGTGAAAGGATAATTGAAGTAAAATGTCATGGAAGTAAAATTGAAAAAAAATCTCACAAGATCTTTAATTTGCAAAAATTCTTAACCAAAGTACAGTTTAACCGTTTGAGTAAAACCATAGTAAATGGTTTCAAGCAGCCCTAGTCTTCTTGTCAATTAAGAAACTAGCATTCGAGCCTAACAATTGTTTGAGGTATCATTAATATTTGAGGAATTACTCTGGTCAATCAAAATATCGAATGACATTCTATCGAAAATCTCCCCACCGTGCTTTGCATTTCTACAAAGATGCAAAGACAAACCAAGTTCGAAGAGAAATACATGGAATGGATGACCAATTTGCATTGACCTAATTATAAAATTCGCATGAGGATAAGATATATACAACTATTCAAGTAGTTCCAGATTAAGGCTTCAACAATCAAGCACTTTCACGTAAATTGCTTAGCAACATTCAATTCTTTCAAGTACTGTAGCCCAGTTTTCGCTCCTGCACAGCCCATCCATTTATAGTAAAGCATACAATCAGTTTTCAGAATTAAATGAAACTCGTTAGGGCAATCGAAAGTAACCAGGCTAAATTCAGCGCCTCCAGTCCGGTTTTTGTAATATAGTGAAGCATCAACAAAATAAAGTTGAGAAGAAGTTGAAAAGAAGCCGAATTAGGAATTTAAAAGCACCCCAATAATACTAACTTCAATAACATTTCTCTAAATCAACTAAATTAAGCTGAAAAGAAGTTGAAGACACCCATCTTTAGATTTTCACGGACCCCAAATGACATTCAAGTTTCAGGATAAGATGATAATTATGTGTTCATTACATCGCCAAATCAACACAACAAGGAGTTGAAGCTTGAGGATTTAATACACCCAATAGAAGTAATTCAAGCTCGAATATGTAAGGACAACTTACCTGATAATTGAACTACAGTTAAATCTTTTTCGAGGCTGAAGTTTTTCCAAAAAGCGCCGAACCAGAGGCACAATTAACATCAGCTGATACTCAAAAATGGATAATGGAAATCAAGTGAAATGCAATGTTATTTGTTTCAAAAAGCGGAGACGCTCAATAGATTTGGATAAAACCCGACTCTAAATGGGAGGGAAACCATATTGCAATTCAACTACATATTGCAATTCAACCATATTTTTTTTTTTTGGATATGGATATTGGAAACCATTGTTAAGTAGAGAATAGGGTTGATATTGATCGCCATCCATACGTATTTTTGGATTTGGTCGATATGCTTGAAACATATGTTATGTAAATGAGTTTGATATATATTTTTGGATTTTATATGAATGTTCTAAACAAATGTTCAATCAAGGGTATGTTACATAAATGAGAGATCTCTTTTTATTTGCCTTTTCCATTATGAGGAAGTCATCAAGTTGGAGATTATATATTTTTATGACAATGTAGCTTGGTTACCACATACAGTTACTTTCATGCAATGCTAGTTGTTGCTTTGGTGATAAACTATAAATACAGCGAATAAAAGTGTAACTCTTTTAATAGAACATGTAGGATATCAAACATATAATGTAAAGGCACCACCAAAGGCTAATATATAACACCACCAAAGGCTAACATATAATACCACTAAAAGAAACACCTAACTCAGTTCTAACATGCAACACCACCAAAGGCAAAAGGCCACCAAGAAAAAAAAAAGGTCAACTGAAAACGTTCCCGCAGTATAAGAACTTGCTCCAGCAGTATAAGAATTCTCTCCGGCAGAATGGATTGGATGCTCCGGCAATGAAGGCTTTGGAGCCACAACGCTCTAGTAGTCCAATTAAACAATCCGACAATAAAAACAACTCGCTCCGGCACTACATATTTCTCTCTCTGGCAGTACACCTTCTGGAGCCACAATCCTCCGGCAGCCAGATTAAACGCTCTAGCAACGAAGACAATGCGCTCCGGCCATACGGTAACTCACTCCAGCAGTACACCTTCTGGAGCCACAGCGCTCCGATGGTTGAATATGTCGCTCTAGCGATACAAAAACGCGCTCCAGTGATACAGACATTCGCTCCGACAATACACCTTATGGAGCCACAATGCTCCGACATTGTGGTAGTGCGCTCCAGCAGTAGATGAACTTGCTCCGGCAATATGTGATCTCGCTCTGACAGTATACCTTCTGGAGACATTTCGCTCCGGCACTCTATGAATGCACTCCGGCAGTAGGGTCTCTGGAGCCACAGCGCTCCGACGGTAAACCTTCTAGAGACATTTTTGCTCGGGCAATCTATAATGTCCCTCCAACAATAGAGGCTCTAGAGCCACAGTGCTCCTGCAGTGCCTATTGCGATCCGGCAATCATTACAAAGAGCTCCGACAGTGTTATTTTGCGCTTCGGCAATACGAAACTTGAGACCGTCAATTGACTTTTTTTTGTACGAGAAAGGCATTTCCATCCAAAAAATAACAACTTTTTACCTTTGTGGGAGGGGGGGGTTTGCAAGGAAAGATTGTTGTGGGGAAAAAAGTGAGGGGACAGGTTTGAATGGGGGTAAGTGGCATAGATAGTGTATTTGGGGGGGGATGGGGGGGTTGATTTGTAATTTTCCCTTTAATATTTATAGTGATGCTTTGGGAGCAAGAACGAAATAAATGCCCATAAATTATCGGAAATCTAGAAGAGGGTCACGCCACCGTTGCCAGATTGAAAAGACGAAAGAATAAATGTTAACGGGCATTATATACGTTTAAGATAGCCATTATTTACATTTTTTTCTTTTAATAATTCTTTTCAAGGCAAACTTTTCTATGCTTCCCTTACTGCATAAAACCTAGGAAAAATTACGTATATATCCGTTATAGTTTGCGTTATCACAAAACTATTGAATAGTTTATGTTATTATCTATCTATCTGTTTTTTTCATATCATAACGAAAAAAAATTAAAAAGATAATTTTACCCTTTTTCGTTTGTTGAACAACCGAATTCAATGGATTTTTGGTGAAATCAGGTTGGTCTTTGAAAAACCGAATTCAATGGATTTTCGGTGAAATCAGGTTGGTTTTTGAAAAACCGAAATTCAAATTTTTTGATTGTGGAAGAATCAAAATTTTTTTTCTCTCTCGTAAGTCCTCTGCGTATTCTCTCTCTATCGACTAATCAATTTTTTTTAAATTCAATTTTAGCTCTCTATCGACTAATCAATTTTTTAAAAAATTCAATTTTTCAACAACTGAAAAAGATAAAATTGTCTTTTTTTTAAATTCTTTTTATGACATGAAAAAAATGGACAGAAAACCAATCCCTTAAAATTAGAGATTCAAGAATTCAAAATAAATATCAATAAATCTCCACCTTAGCTTGAATTTCAAAAGAAATTCTCATCGACCGCCTTCTCCACACCGTCCTCATGGGCGCTTACCTTGGCAACACATTAGTCAAGCCCAAGCATAACTTGAACTTCTATAATGGAACTGGCTTTGTCAACATATCTGTAACATTTTTCTTGGTGTCAATATTCAGTAATAAGATATCATCTTCAGCTATGATCTTACGAATAAAATGATGTCTGACATCAATATGCTTCATCCTTGTATGATATATTTGGTTCTTCGTCAAATGTATTGCACTTTGACTGTCACAATAAATACCAGTCCCATTATGTCGTAAGCCCAAATCGTTTACAAGCCCTCTCAGCCAAATGGCTTCTTTTACTGCCTCAGTAATAGTCATGTATTCTGCTTCAATCGTAGACAAAGGCAACCACACTTTGTAGCATCGACCTCCAACTGATCGAAATTCCTGTAAGTGTAAACACATAACCTGTAATAGATCTTCTACAGTCCAAATCACTTGCAAAGTCAGCATCAACATAACCAACAACCAGCAACTTTGTCACCAACTTGTTATCTCCATCAAACATCAGACCCATATCTGATGTACCCTTAGGTAACACAATATCCATTTTATCGCATGTCAATGCTCCTTTCATGAATTAGCCATATACTTGCTAACAACACTTATGGCATGTGAAATATCTGGACGAGTGCAAACCATTGCATACATAAGGATTCCAACTACACTCGCATAGGGAATACGTGACATGTATTCCTTTTCAGCATCTAAACTTGGAGATAATGATGTTGACAATCTGAAATGTGCAGTAAGAGGAGTACCCATGGGCTTTGAATCATTGTTTGCAAAATTGCCCGATCTAACCGCTAACTGCCCGGTTGGATCGGAACCGGTCAAACCGGCCAATGGCCGGTTCCTGTTTTGCGCGGTTAGGGTGATCAACCGGTATTTTTAATAAAAGAATTAAAATATATATATATAAATTCTAAAAAATAAGGAATTTGATTTGTAATACATTTTTAAATATTCTTTACATTATAGTGCAGATTAAAAATTGTTTTGATCTCACTTTTATATTTTTCCATTTGTCTAGAAAATTTTAAAAATAGCCATTGGTAAATATAAAATGGGTTAAAATCCATTTTTTTCATTAATTTTCAACTTCATTTGAATATGTTTTGTTTTAATTATTATTTATATGCTTTTCATATTTTAGTAGATTTTTTTTTGTATTTTTTCAATACTTTTTTGACCGCACAAGACTTGCCCTGTTAGAGCGGTTGAATCGCCCAGTTTACTGGTTAAGCCGGTTAAACTGCTTCTAGGCCCACGTCCGGCTAACCGTTCCGGTTCGATTTTGCGAATACCACTTTGAATTTTCCATCTCGAATCTAACAAAGACCTTCTCAATGTACTCTTTCTGAGATAGCCATAATTTACCCAAGTTTCGATCTATGAGAATCTCCATACCCAAAATTTTCTTTACTGAGCATAAATCTTTTATTTCAAATTCTCTGGCAAGTTGAGTCTTCACTTTATTGATTTCTAAAGAATTCTTCACAACAATAAACATATTATCCATATAAAGCAATAAATAGATGAATGAACAATCAATAAATTTTTTAAAATAGACAAAATTGTCATAGTTACTTCTAACATACTCATATCCAATCATGAATATATCAAAACCTTTATACTACTGCCTAGGAGACTACTTTAGGTCGTACAATGACTTCTTCAACTTGCAGACATGGTTTTCCTTTCCTTTAACAACAAACCCTTTTGGTTGAGTCATATAAATATGTTTTTCTAACTCCCCATGAAAGAGTGCAGTCTTGACATCAAGCTTTGCTCTCAAAGCTTGTTGTGCCCTTATACCACTTGTAGTGCTTTGATACCACTTGTTGAGCTATGATATCTATTTCATAACTAGATCATTGTCAAGGATGAGAACTTTGAGAGCATACAAGACTTTTATCTCACTAAAAGGGAAACCACCCAAAATCTCAGTGGGAACCGCTTCTCTACAAGAAATAAGCATATCAATCTTCGAGAGTCCAAAAGAAGCACCATCACAATGTTTCTGTCCAAAAGAAGCTCTCTTCTCTAGAGGAAATTCTTCTGAGAGAGATAAGAGTTCAAAATTCAAACCAAGTGGACAAAAAATTCTTCTTCACCTCTTTCCGTTTCTCAAAACCGAAAGAAGCCCTAGCCCCTTTTCCAGCGAGAGACAAAAGTTCAAACCAAGAAGAATCGTATATCTCAAAAAAACTTTTTTTTATTATTTATACAAGTCACCTAATAATAAAAAATGGGCAAAATACAAGAACATCTAAAATGTGATTTTTCTATCACCATTCAACACAAAGTTCAGTCGGCCTTGAAAGGAATTGATAGTGAGGTTGAGGAACTTGAGGTCACTAAGATCAAAAAAATATTTGATTTGGGATTCAGAGATAAATCCAAGTATACTTAGTTTTATATTGGAAAATGAAAGTTGGGAAATATGTGAGGGAA